ACCCTGGTAACAACACTTGTTATTATGTTATCTCCAACCCTGGTAACAACACTTGTTATTATGTTATCTCCGACCCTGGTAACAACACTTGTTATTATGTTATCTCCAACCCTGGTAACAACACTTGTTATTATGTTATCTCCGACCCTGGTAACAACACTTGTTATTATGTTCTCTCCAACCCTGGTAACAACACTTGTAATAGTCTTCAACCCTAGTATCCATGCTTGTAATATACTCTCCGACCTTGGAAACAACTTTTGTGATATACTATACTTTCTGACCTGTCTTCGGAAACAAACAAGTACATCATTCACAGAAAACATAAATTTACACTGAATGGCTAAATGACCAAACTGTCTAGATTCAGCTGTGAACACAAAACTACACAGCATAAAACAGGTGAATGCAGCTTCTGTTATGCAAGATAACAGACTGGCATGTCACAAAGATACCAGCGGTAAACATAGAAGAGGTTCAGGGTTCATTCGAATTTCTTTAGCTCTTTCACCGAATACAAAATGAATGATTGTTTGCACAGAAATATTAAAAGAACTACTGTGATAAGGACAAAATCTCACGCCGAGACATCCTAACTCACGATGAAACATGTCTCACACCACGTGAGCCATAAATCTCACATTCGAAAATATTTTTCCTCCGTGTCACACAAAGCCATAAATCGACAATTTTTACCTTGGCTTGGACTATATACTAAGGGTGATAACTCCAGTTGCAACATTATGTTTTAGAAGTTAGCTGATGTGAGGTGTCGCTTTACATCCGATGGGTATAATAATAGTAATAATATTAATGCTTTATTTATAGAAGGTAGCTCAATTATTTACAAAACTATTCTCCCTTGAGGCCTTCACTACAATCTACGGCAATAATATATACAGAGTAATAGCATTAAATATGAATATAAATTCAGGAAAATCAAAGGCAACATTGCATAGATTTGAAATACAGTTCTAGCATAATTGCAGCCAAACATAATGCTGTAAAATGTATAGTAAATTAATTGTACATGGACACAATGTAATTGTATTATCAATACTTAAATATGAAATCAAGAAGCATATACATAGTAACTTACAGACAACATTGCAAAGATTGTAATCTTTCTAGCACAGGAACTTGATAACATGGAGGATACAGCAATATGGTCATAATATAAATATGGATCAAACTAGAAATCAGAGGTGAAGAAAGTGCTTAAAACATTTTGTCTTGAAAGACTGTAGACTGTCAGAATTTTTGATTTGTAAGGGCAATCCATTCCATACATGAATACCAGACATTTGAAAGCTTTTCTTATATAGTTCTATCTTAGGTTTGGGTTGGATCAGTTCTCTATCTGTTGTAGAACGTAAAGTATAATTAGATGGAGGTTGGACAAATAAATTCTTGAGGTATTTAGGTGTTAATCCATTAATTGATTTATATATCAGTACAGCTTTGTGATAATTCACCCTTTTATTAATTTCTAGCCACTGTAGTTTCAAAAAAAGTGGTTTAGATGGAAAGTGTAAATGCATCGTAAGGTGAGTTGTTTTCACTCGTAAACTTAGTATTAAACATACCTGTCACACAGAAAAGAAAATTCTACTTATATAAAGTGGTTCACTATTGTCAAGTAGTGCTTTCTCAAGTTTTGAGACAAAACCAAACTTGAAAATAATGCCAACTTGGAGGAAAATAACAAACAGCCAAATGGCTGATGAAAAGTTTGATAGGTGTAAAGTTATTTGCATGACTAGGTCGTCCTGAATCTTCAGATAAGATGATCGTATAACCAGAACTAAAAAGAAACATTGTTTTCCCCCTTTTAGCTGTGTTCTCTCCCCTTTGATAGGAGACAGATCTTACCCCTATAGAGATACTTCCTGTTCCTCTGATAGGAAACTGATCTTACCTATATAGGGATACTTCCTGTTCCTCTGATAGGAGACAGATCTTACATCTATAGGGATACTTCCTGTTCCTCTGATAGGAGACAGATCTTCCCTTGATAGGGATACTTCCTGTTCCTCTGATAGGAGACAGATCTTATCTCTATAGGGATACTTCCTGTTCCTCTAATAGGAGACAGATCTTACCCCTATAGGGATAATTCCTGTTCCTCTGATAGGAGACAGATCTTCCCCTATAGGGATACTTCCTGTTCCTCTGATAGGAGACAGATCTTACCTCTATAGGGATACTTCCTGTTCCTCTGATAGGAGACAGATCTTACCTCTATAGGGATACTTCCTGTTCCTCTGATAGGAGACAGATCTTACCTCTATAGGGATACTTCCTGTTCCTCTGATAGGAGACAGATCTTACCTCTATAGGGATACTTCCTGTTCCTCTGATAGGAGACAGATCTTACCTCTATAGGGATACTTCCTGTTCCTCTGATAGGAGACAGATCTTACCTCTATAGGGATACTTCCTGTTCCTCTGATAGGAGACAGATCTTACCTCTATAGGGATACTTCCTGTTCCTCTGATAGGAGACAGATCTTACCTCTATAGGGATACTTCCTGTTCCTCTGATAGGAGACAGATCTTACCTCTATAGGGATACTTCCTGTTCCTCTGATAGGAGACAGATCTTACCTCTATAGGGATACTTCCTGTTCCTCTGATAGGAGACAGATCTTACCTCTATAGGGATACTTCCTGTTCCTCTGATAGGAGACAGATCTTACCTCTATAGGGATACTTCCTGTTCCTCTGATAGGAGACAGATCTTACCTCTATAGGGATACTTCCTGTTCCTCTGATAGGAGACAGATCTTACCTCTATAGGGATACTTCCTGTTCCTCTGATAGGAGACAAATCTTACCTCTATAGGGATACTTCCTGTTCCTCTGATAGGAGACAGATCTTACCTCTATAGGGATACTTCCTGTTCCTCTGATAGGAGACAGATCTTACCTCTATAGGGATACTTCCTGTTCCTCTGATAGGAGACAGATCTTACCTCTATAGGGATACTTCCTGTTCCTCTGATAGGAGACAGATCTTACCTCTATAGGGATACTTCCTGTTCCTCTGATAGGAGACAGATCTTACCTCTATAGGGATACTTCCTGTTCCTCTGATAGGAGACAGATCTTACCTCTATAGGGATACTTCCTGTTCCTCTGATAGGAGACAGATCTTACCTCTATAGGGATACTTCCTGTTCCTCTGATAGGAGACAGATCTTACCTCTATAGGGATACTTCCTGTTCCTCTGATAGGAGACAGATCTTACCTCTATAGGGATACTTCCTGTTCCTCTGATAGGAGACAGATCTTACCTCTATAGGGATACTTCCTGTTCCTCTGATAGGAGACAGATCTTACCTCTATAGGGATACTTCCTGTTCCTCTGATAGGAGACAGATCTTACCTCTATAGGGATACTTCCTGTTCCTCTGATAGGAGACAAATCTTACCCCTATAGGGATACTTCCTGTTCCTCAGATAGGAGACAGATATTACCTATATAGGGATACTTCCTGTTCCTCTGATAGGAGACAGAACTTACCTCTATAGGGATACTTCCTGTTCCTCTGATAGGAGACAGATCTTACCCCTATAGAGATACTTCCTGTTCCTCTGATAGTAGACAGATCTTACCTCTTAAGGGATACTTCCTGTTCATCTGATAGGAGACAAATCTTCCCTCTATAGGGATACTTCCTGGTCCTCAGACAGGAGACAGATATTACCTATGTAGGGATACTTCCTGTTCTTCTGATAGGAGACAGATATTACCTCTATAAGGATACTTCCTGTCCCTCTGATAGGCGACAGATCTTACCTCTATAGTGATACTTCCTGTCCCTCTGATAGGAGACAGATCTTACCTCTTAAGGGATACTTCCTGTTCCTCTGATAGGAGACAAAGCTTACCTCTATAGGGATACTTCCAGTACCACACATTGGATCACAGACAACATCTCCAGGCTTGATTTCACATAATCTGTTTAAAAAATATTGAAAGTCATACAACAATGGGTAATTTAACTGGAGAAAAAAATCAGAGCAGTATTTAAATTGTTTGAAACATCAATGTACATGTATGCATTTGTAATTCATTTTCACTGACGTACAGCCAGTACCTGGCGACTTCCCCTCGTAGGCCATGAAACCCGCGACCCAGTGGTGGAGGGCTAGTGGTAGCAGAATGTTAGACGCCTTAACCACTTGGCCACCATGGCCTCTAATTTGAAAGAAGATAATTTAGTAACAAAGAACATGACAGAAATTTAAAAACAAAGCATTTAAAAGATGTTTTTGGTTCTTAAGAAGTCATTTGAGTTTTTAGCAGATCTGACACATGTGACCTTGAAAATTGGTCAAGGTCGTTTCTTTTTGAAAGTTTCTAGCAATTGTCATGCCACAAAGCTAACAGCTAAACAATTTAACATAATGACTCTAGATGTTCTTGTTTTTCAGAAGATGCCATTTGCGTGTTTTACCAATTATGACTCTGTGACATAAAATACTGCATTGTTCAAAGTAATTTGTTTTCAACAATTTGAATTATTTCAATTTAATAGATGACTTTTGAAGGTTTTGTATTAATTGATCCCTTATAAGACCCACCCTGCAATTCCCCCTGGGAGTCAATTCCTATCTGAGTATAGGTTCTGATCCCTATCATTCGAATATTTTTGGAATGCTGGTGGAAATCTACTTATTACTTTCAGATAAGATGTCTTGTGAAGGTTTTGCCTTCTGTGTCCCCTTATGGCCTTGCCCCTTAATCCCCTGGTTGGTCAACCACTTATTGAGTAACGATTCTGATCCTCATCATCTAAGGATCTTTTTTGTAAGTTTCAGAGGAGATATCTGTTGAAGGTTTTGCACTAAGTGATATCTTATGGCCCCACCTCATAGCCTCTTGTGGGTCAGTTGCTTATTGATCCTTATCACCTTCAAGATCCTGTTATGAAATAATGATCAAAATTCAACAGTTAGTTGCAAAGAAGTTTTTGAAGGTTTTACAATAAGTGACTGTGGCCCCTAATGGCCACACCTGGCAGTTCCAGCCCAAGGGGTTCTGTGCCCTTTTTTTAATATATATTCTGATATCCATCACATGTTGAATATTTTACATGTACCACCAATTGTCAACAAACCTGACAGATGGATCTTGGTTTCTGCAGAGAAGTCAAAAATATTAACATGAAACACAAATATGATGGCGGAAGAAAAGACAATGACAATATGTCTCAGAAATTCAAGTAACCTAAAATGTCATACACTAAAGCCTGGTGACACCACAAGCAACCTTAATATGACCCCTAACAGTACACTAAAGCCTGGAGAAACCATAAGCAACCTTAATATGACCTCTAACAGTATAGTAAAGCCTGGTGAAACCATAATTACCAACCTTAATATGACCTCTAACAGTATAGTAAAGCCTGGTGAAACCATAATCAACCTTAATATGACCTCTAACAGTATAGTAAAGCCTGGTGAAACCAAAATTAGCAACCTTAATATGACCTCTAACAGTATAGTAAAGCCTGGTGAAACCATAATTAGCAACCTTAAAATGACCTCTAACAGTATAGTAAAGCTTAGTGAAACCACAAGCAACCTTAATATGACCTCTAACAGTATAGTAAAGCCTGGTGAAACCATAAGCAACCTTAATATGACCTCTAACAGTATAGTAAAGCCTGGTGAAACCATAATCAACCTTAATATGACCTCTAACAGTATAGTAAAGCCTGGTGAAACCATAAGCAACCTTAATATGACCTCTAACAGTATAGTAAAGCCTGGTGAAACCATAAGCAACCTTAATATGACCTCTAACAGTATAGTAAAGCCTGGTGAAACCATAAGCAACCTTAATATGACCTCTAACAGTATAGTAAAGCCTGGTGAAACCATAAGCAACCTTAATATGACCTCTAACAGTATAGTAAAGCCTGGTGAAACCATAAGCAACCTTAATATGACCTCTAACAGTATAGTAAAGCCTGGTGAAACCATAAGCAACCTTAATATGACCTCTAACAGTATAGTAAAGCCTGGTGAAACCATAAGCAACCTTAATATGACCTCTAACAGTATAGTAAAGCCTGGTGAAACCATAAGCAACCTTAATATGACCTCTAACAGTATAGTAAAGCCTGGTGAAACCATAAGCAACCTTAATATGACCTCTAACAGTATAGTAAAGCCTGGTGAAACCATAAGCAACCTTAATATGACCTCTAACAGTATAGTAAAGCCTGGTGAAACCATAAGCAACCTTAATATGACCTCTAACAGTATAGTAAAGCCTGGTGAAACCATAAGCAACCTTAATATGACCTCTAACAGTATAGTAAAGCCTGGTGAAACCATAAGCAACCTTAATATGACCTCTAACAGTATAGTAAAGCCTGGTGAAACCATAAGCAACCTTAATATGACCTCTAACAGTATAGTAAAGCCTGGTGAAACCATAAGCAACCTTAATATGACCTCTAACAGTATAGTAAAGCCTGGTGAAACCATAAGCAACCTTAATATGACCTCTAACAGTATAGTAAAGCCTGGTGAAACCATAAGCAACCTTAATATGACCTCTAACAGTATAGTAAAGCCTGGTGAAACCATAAGCAACCTTAATATGACCTCTAACAGTATAGTAAAGCCTGGTGAAACCATAAGCAACCTTAATATGACCTCTAACAGTATAGTAAAGCCTGGTGAAACCATAAGCAACCTTAATATGACCTCTAACAGTATAGTAAAGCCTGGTGAAACCATAAGCAACCTTAATATGACCTCTAACAGTATAGTAAAGCCTGGTGAAACCATAAGCAACCTTAATATGACCTCTAACAGTATAGTAAAGCCTGGTGAAACCATAAGCAACCTTAATATGACCTCTAACAGTATAGTAAAGCCTGGTGAAACCATAAGCAACCTTAATATGACCTCTAACAGTATAGTAAAGCCTGGTGAAACCATAAGCAACCTTAATATGACCTCTAACAGTATAGTAAAGCCTGGTGAAACCATAAGCAACCTTAATATGACCTCTAACAGTATAGTAAAGCCTGGTGAAACCATAAGCAACCTTAATATGACCTCTAACAGTATAGTAAAGCCTGGTGAAACCATAAGCAACCTTAATATGACCTCTAACAGTATAGTAAAGCCTGGTGAAACCATAAGCAACCTTAATATGACCTCTAACAGTATAGTAAAGCCTGGTGAAACCATAAGCAACCTTAATATGACCTCTAACAGTATAGTAAAGCCTGGTGAAACCATAAGCAACCTTAATATGACCTCTAACAGTATAGTAAAGCCTGGTGAAACCATAAGCAACCTTAATATGACCTCTAACAGTATAGTAAAGCCTGGTGAAACCATAAGCAACCTTAATATGACCTCTAACAGTATAGTAAAGCCTGGTGAAACCATAAGCAACCTTAATATGACCTCTAACAGTATAGTAAAGCCTGGTGAAACCATAAGCATCCTTAATGAGACATCTAACAGTATAGTAAAGCCTGGTGAAACCACAAGCAACCTTAATATGACCCCTAACAGTATAGTAAAGCCTGATGAAACCACAAGCAACGTTAATATGACCTCTAACAGTATAGTAAAGCCTGGAGAAACCACAAGCAACCTTAATATGACCTCTAACAGTATAGTAAAGCCTGGAGAAACCATAATCAACCTTAATATGACCCCTAACAGTACAGTAAAGCCTGGTGAAACCACAAGCAACCTTAATATGACCTCTAACAGTATAGTAAAGCCTGGTGAAACCATAATCAACCTTAATATGACCTCTAACAGTACAGTAGAGCCTGGTGAAACAATAATCAACCTTAATATGACCTCTAACAGTATAGTAAAGCCTGGTGAAACCAAAAGCAACCTTAATATGACCCCTTACAGTATAGTAAAGCTTAGTGAAACCACAAGCAACATTAATATGACCCCTAACAGTACACTAAAGCCTGGTGAAACCATAAGCAACCTTAATATGACCTCTAACAGTATAGTAAAGCCTGGTGACACCAAAACCAACCTTAATATGACCTCTAACAGTACACTAAAGCCTGGTGAAACCATAAGCAACCGTAATATGACCTCTAACAGTATAGTAAAGCGTGGTGAAACCATAATCAACCTTAATATGACTTCTAACAGTATAGTAAAGCTTAGTGAAACCATAAGCAACCTTAATATGATCTCTAACAGTATAGTAAAGCCTGGTAAAACCAAAAGCAACCTTAATATGACCCCTTACAGTATAGTAAAGCTTAGTGAAACCACAAGCAACATTAATATGACCCCTAACAGTACTCTAAAGCCTGGTGAAACCATAAGCACCCTTAATATGCCCTCTAACAGTATAGTAAAGCCTGGAGAAACCAAAAGCAACCTTAATATGACCCCTTACAGGATAGTAAAGCTTAGTGAAACCACAAGCAACATTAATATGGCCCCTAACAGTACACTAAAGCCTGGTGAAACCCTAAGCAACCTTAATATGACCTCTAATAGTATAGTAAAGCCTTGTGAAACCATAAACAACCTTAATATGACCTCTAACAGTACACTAAAGCCTGGTGAAACCATAAGCAACCGTAATATGACCTCTAACAGTATAGTAAATCCTGGTGAAACCATAATCAACCTTAATATGACCCCTAACAGTATAGTAAAGCCTGGTGACACCAAAACCAACCTTAATATGACCTCTAACAGTACAGTAAAGCCTGGTGAAACCATAAGCAACCTTAATATGACCTCTAATAGTATAGTAAAGCCTTGTGAAACCATAAGCAACCTTAATATGACCTCTAACAGTATAGTAAAGCGTGGTGAAACCATAATCAACCTTAATATGACCTCTAACAGTACAGTAAAGCCTGGTGAAACCATAAGCAACCTTAATATGACCCCTAACAGTATAATAACACTGAAATAAACTCTCCTATCAGCAGTTTTATAGCTGTGATACAAAAAAAAATCACCAAAATTTACCAGCATTGGGACTGACGGAAACTCAATGTCTTCACACTGTTTGGAATGCAATGCCAAAGCCAATAGTATCAGAAAGCTCCAGATGATTCCCTGGGTCATTTCTCTGACGTAATCATGTACACCAACACCCAGACATATCTACTCAAGAAACTGAGACAGACTAGATAGATATTAAGTCTCATTGCTTTAATGCCTTGTTTCTAATGACCTCAGAGTGAATAGAATGTTTGAAAACAGGGGAAGAAAGTGTTTTGCAATTTTTTCACTCAATCTTGTTAACTGCACTTGTCGTTTTGGCCCACAAGAAGTTTACGTAAATAACTTTGTAAAATAATTCTTTTTATCAAATGGCTCTTTTTTTTTAGTTGTATAAAATACAAATACAGAATGTACAAATAACTTCCAAATGGTAGAAATTGAAAGTCTTACATTATTATAAGCTCAGGTAACATTATTTTCCCTGAAACTAGAAAGTTAAACTGATAAAATGGACTGTTTATCACAGGATCTCAAAAGACAATCTTTCTGTGTTTTTGTTTAATATAAACTTCCAAATGGTAGAAATTGAAAGTCTTACATTATTATAAGCTCAGGTAACATTATTTTCCCTGAAACTAGAAAGTTAAACTGATAAAATGGACTGTTTATCACAGGATCTCAAAAGACAATCTTTCTGTGTTTTTGTTTAATATAAAATCCTATCTATATCCAGCTGAATAATGTAAGACTCTTCCATGCTCAGGGGTGTAGGATAGGGAAATTCCACCCGAGGGTTTTGCCAAATTTGAAAATCCTGAGGGTGGATCTTCCCTATCCTATACACCCTTGGGCTTGAAAGAGTAATTTTCTCTCATTCCAACCACCAGAATAAGCTCAGAAACCATGAAAATGCATTTGGACTGGCCACCATTTTGAAAATATCAATCCCCCCCTGAGCTTTTTGGACGAAAATGAATCAGCCAGCCAGATTTAGTATATCCCATATTGGCAAACAAGAGTTTGTGCAGGAAAATTAATCACATCTTTCTAACGTGTACGGTAAATATATCGTAAAAAGTTTTTAATTTCATCACGTCGCCTTCTCCGCATTGCGGCATCGGAGAGTTCCGAATTTGTGACGCCACGTCATTGTCGAGCAATTGTGACGTCACGTCAAATGAAATGGGGTGTAAGATAGAAATTTCCTACGCCCCTTTCTTACCCTGGACAGCTATTTTACACACAGGGAAATGAGAGAAAGATCTAGGTATACATGTATTACATTTGTAGATAAACATTTTCCTATTACAAATTTTTGCATGAAAGTAAATCTATGATGTCAGTGCATTGTTTTTGAAAATGTCTTCATCAGGGTCAACACAATTAATAATTTTTTGTTACCAGGTGGTGTTATATAAATCTGGCCTTTTAGAGTAAGTTCTTACCTTAGCATGCTGTATGCAATAGTGGCCCTAAGGGTGGTGGGACCAAAGGAGACGATGTTCCTCTTGTGTAAGCTACCTTTGGTGAGGGCCAAACACACACGAATGTCATTCTCACTGATATTCAACACCACCTCAATGTCAAATTTTACCATGTCTACATTCCAGTTGAAGTAGTTGTTGATGGCCGCCCCAAAATTAGAAGCGGCACACATGGAGTCAAACTTGTGATTTGTTCCTGCTCGCTTACAGGTCACGCGGAATGCTGGCATGTTTGGGTCCCAGGAAGTGATTTTAACTTTCTGCTTTTTGGACGGTCCTTCTTCCGCCTGAGATTCATCCCCTATCTTTTTTTCTGTAGCTGATGAATCTGCTGAAATTTTGTCGATGTCACCAGAAGCCTTTCCTTCTGAGGAGGCTTTATCTGTGACACCGGCATCTATATCACATGACAAAGTTCCTGCATCTGATTGGTTGTCGCCTCGACTCTCTTGTGATGGTGAATCAACTTGGCAGTCCCCTTTCTTCACATTTTCCGTTTCTTCTGTTGAGATATTGTCCCGTTTGTTTTTCTTTCTATCCTTGTACCTTGTGGTCCAGAGCCTTTTATTAGAGTCTTTGGCATTGCGTACTTTTGGTTGTTTCTTTGGTCTGAAGATATCCTTAGTGCTGATTGGTTCTCCAAGGTCAGCTGGTATGACGGAAGGGCGGGAAGCGATGGAGTGGGGGAAGTCATACACCTTATTCCACGCCTGTAGTCCCAGGTCCCAATCTAAATCTGGAACAAGGTTTCGCAGTTGTGACATACATTTCATCTGAAAAGACAAGATAACGTCTGTTAAATTGTGAAACACAAATGGTTAAAACATGACAGATATCATTTATAACTACTTGAAATAGATACAGACTGGTTCAGGGTGGAGCAGTGGATAGTGCAACCACCTTTCACCAAGACAGCCAGGGTTTGATTCCCTGATCTGACGTGAAAAGATATGTCGTCACCTATCTGACCATTCGGGTTTTCTCCAGGTTCTCTGGTCTCCTTCCACTTTCAGACCCCCTGCAAGTTAGACTGCGGGCTAACAAGAGTGGTTAATATAAGTTGATATATAGTATGTTTCATAATTGTTGTAAAATAAATAAAAGTTTATAACATAATAGAAATAGATTTCTCATGAAATTTCTTGAAAACACACCATGGATATGTGTTTGTAATATGGATAGGTTGTCTTTGAATGAAACACCTTTATTTTACATGTTGGCAAGTTTTCAAAATTGCCTCATAAGAAAGTGTATCGCATATTCTGGTTGAAATGTATTGGTATGTGTGACAATCCCCTTGCAATCTGTTACTATTAATGTGAACTATGTTTTTTTAATTCAGCGTCTGAGACACATTGCAACAGGCTTGAACTAGCAAGGCAACATACAATTCTTTTTGATTTTGAAAGACATTTTCCAATTAATCATTTTGGTTTTTCTGAAAGGGCAGATTCATAGTCAATGTTATGATAGGTGCTCAGTGTATGTAAATGAGCTAAGATTTAGCCAAAGTATTCAATGTATATTGACATCTATGAAGAATGACTGTTTAGGGGTCTAGCACATGCAAACTCTAACAATGGTTACATATAATTGTTAAAAAGTTATTGTTTTTAAACTTATTTTGTTCTGTTATATAAAGGCTTCTTTGACAGTGGTTTATCTTGATAAGCACAAACACAGTCCAAGTTCAAAATTACATCATATAGAGATTGTTAGTACGGTCCATTTTTATAAAAAAAAATCCAATTAGTTACTGAAAATTTAAATCAAAACATTTTCATCAAATAGAAAAAAACAAAATTGACAGAATGATTAATGTGATTTTCAAAACAAAGCCTTAAAAATCTCAATTATAAAATAAATTTGCAAATTTTCCAGGATGAAATTTCACATTTTGCTGAAAAAAATGCTGTTTTTTTTTTTTTCTATCAAATTGTTTTCTCATTTTTATAAATATATTAACAAGATACAGCACTAGCTTTCAACTGTAATTGTATGGTATTATGCTCTGATCAAGTAGCCCAGACGAGCCATGAAAATTTATTTTGAGCAAAACATATTTTTTACAGAAAATTGAAATATTTCTAGGATTTCAGTAGCGATGATACCATATAACGGAACAAGTCACAGCTTTTCAGCAAGGGCTGGCACAGAAGTCACAGTAACAAGAACTGTCCATTACAAAGATTTATAAACAGAAATATTTCACATTTGAAAAAAATAAAAAAAATGTTGGCTTGAAATCTTCTTTTGCATTGCAAGGTGTAAATGGTAATGTGTTTGAACAAATGATGTTAAGTTTAATTTCATGCTCCAAATATATCATAATATCATAATATTTTATTTCTTTTGGGCATAAAATGATAAAAAAATATATGTTTTACAGTGTTTTAACTGCTTTTAACAAAATCCTAATTTAATAATAATATTAACTAGAATTTTGTTTTTGTGAACAAAAACATATTTCTCAACTTATTAACCAATAGAAAAACTCTGGTATAAAAAATTAACAAAGGGCCATATCGCTTTATATAGTGGGGCACGCGACCTGAATTTAGAATGCTACACTCCTACTTCCCAAGAAACATTAAAACTTTAGCAAGTTTGGTCAACATAGGTGAAATAACATGGAAGTTATGCTGTGGACAAACTTTGGTATTAAAAATAAACAAAGGGCCATAACTCTGTATGTAGTGGGGCATAAAATCTGATTTTAGTGAGAGAAATTCCGCCTTCCTAAGATTTATTAATATGGTAAGTATGGTCAACGTAGGTGAAATAACATGGAACTTATGCTTACGGACAAACTTTGGCATTAAAATTAAACAAAGGGCCATAACTCTGTATATAGTGAAGCACGATACCTAATTTGATTGCACTGCACACCTTTTGTGGGTGATGCAGATACACTTCAAGCTTAATCAGGAATTATGGGCCGGACAAGAATTTACTGAAAATATGCACTTATTTGACCTTTGACCTTGAGGTGGAGGTCACAGTGACCTAATTCCAGTGCACTGCACACCTCCTGTGGGTGATGCATGCATATCTAAAGTTTCATCAAGATATCTTAAACAGTTTAAAAGTTAAGGCCCAGACAAGTTTGATTAGAAGAACCAGAACCAGAAAAAAGGAAGAAGAACCAGTACTAATACAATGTCTCCTTCATTCGAAGGGGAAACATAATAATTGTCTTTATTCCAACTTGATGACATATTGAGTCAAAGGCTCGTCTAACATATGGTCAAGCATGATAAAATGTACACTATTTACAACAATGTGCATGCACTATTATGTGGAAAAAAACAGTGGTTACCACAGGTTTATTAGGATAATTACAGTGTTGTCCACTTCTGTCTGTAGTGTACTAGTATGTACACAGGTTTATTAGGATAATTACGGTTTTGTCCACTTATGTCTGTAGTGTACTAGTCTGTACAGGTTTATTAGGATAGTTACGGTTTTGTCCACTTATGTCTGTAGTGTACTAGTCTGTACAGGTTTATTAGGATAATGACAGTGTTGTCCACTTATGTCTGTAGTGTACTAGTCTGTACAGGTTTATTAGGATAGTTACGGTTTTGTCCACTTATGTCTGTAGTGTACTAGTCTGTACAGGTTTATTAGGATAATGACAGTGTTGTCCACTTATGTCTGTAGTGTACTAGTCTGTACAGGTTTATTAGGATAGTTACGGTTTTGTCCACTTATGTCTGTAGTGTACTAGTCTGTACAGGTTTATTAGGATAGTTACGGTTTTGTCCACTTATGTCTGTAGTGTACTAGTCTGTACAGGTTTATTAGGATAGTTACGGTTTTGTCCACTTATGTCTGTAGTGTACTAGTCTGTACAGGTTTATTAGGATAGTTACAGTTTTGTCCACTTCTGTCTGTAGTGTACTAGTCTGTACAGGTTTATTAGGATAATTCCAGCTTTGTCCACTTATGTCTGTAGTGTACTCAGTGTTTCCTACATGTACATACTCTAGTCTCGTGTTGTCATAAAAATAGAATTAGAGAACAATTAAAACACAATTTCTGTGAGACATTTCGACGAGTTAAAGTAATCCCTGTACTATGTATGGCTTGGGAAAACGTGAATTATAAATACACTACCGCACACATTTTCTGAAAGTGATCTAGGAACATAACAGCTTTACTTAAGTATTCGGAGGTAATTTCCCTTGGGCCACATTACATTGAGAACACAGAAATAAAGTGGAGTTTAATTTCTGATATCAAACAAAATGTTGTCATCCCCATGTTCATGTGGCAACTTTCACTACATCATTGACATGATCACAATCTGTAGATCAAATTTCAAACTTGAAATTATAGAAAATTTAGAATGTCATATATTAAAATATTGGCAAAGACATTTACCTTAAATGTAATTTGATAAGTATTGAATTAGAAATAATTTTAATATGACTGTTTGAAATTTATTTCAAAATTAACCAACATTGTGTTGAGAGTTAATGTACGAAAAAAAAAGAAGTTTAACACAATCTGATTAAAATCATCAGATTACATGGCTGAGTTTAACAATACTGTAGAGGTTCTTGATAAACATTTATCATAATATTTCACCTCTACATGCCCGGCCATTACCTCGTCCATGGCAAGTTTCAGTCACGTGACCTTTAAGGATTATGTCCATGGAAAAATGGTGGAAAAAAAACCTTCCCTTTCGAGGAATTTTAGAGATAAACTGACAAATTCCTTTCTTTCATTTAATGATACATAGCCTATAGATTCCATTACAGAAAGTGATTTGGTTGAAATAGGACTGGATTCATTATATGAAAGAAATGAATTTGTCAGTTTATCTTAAAAAGGTGCTTCCATTTGCCATTTTCTGTTGACTGAATCATCAGAGCTAGGTCACATGATTGTCAACATTGGGTTTATAAAGTAAAATAACACAATTTTTATTATAATTGCTACACTTAACATTTTGCAAGGTATTCATGGATCAAATTCTTATATATATTTGGATTTTCTCATCAAGTATTGGTTGTGCGGTTGAAATTAATAGCAAATGCAGTGCATACAAATCAAAAACATATTTTCTGACACTTATTTTAAAGAACCTTACATGAAAAAGAAGCATTGAACAGATATTTCATGTTGTCGTTTGATTATGAAATAAGAAACAGAAAGAATATCCAATGTTGATTCACACAGTATTTCACAAGTTTCCTACCCACATCACCATTGCAGTAGCCTCCAACAGCACCATGCGTCCATGTCATTTAACACCATCTACAACACTTACATGACCTGACCGGGGCGATAGATTCTACAATCTTCATAATTACCAGTAAGAATGTAATCTGAATCAGGTTTCTCTTAAAGCATCAGAAATTACTTTATTGAACTTACTTCATCATCAGCAAATTGAAATTTCTTGATCTCGGTCATGACGACAAAACAGTTGTCCACACATCCAAGCTCCAGCACCTTCAAGAAAATATAGTACATTGAGTTTTATCTCAAAGTTCTATCATCAGTTCCCATCAATCAAAGTATAACCACCTTCATTAATTATATATCCTAGTCCACCCTCCTGGCATACAACTCCGGGCCAATTAAGGTCATATTCACCTAAATCTAAATTTATGTTAATTTCAATCCAAATGCACATTTATATACATATATATATGGGGCAAAGAAGTAATTCCAACAGTGTGGACAAGTTTAGGTTGTCAAATTTTCGGAGCGATCCGCTCCTTTTTCAAGACACAGTGAAACAGAACAGTTACATGTTCATATACATCATATTACAAGAAGATAGAATTGATATACTATAATTGAAAATATAGCTATTATATAAAACCAATAGTCCCCTTGGCTAATGACAGCCGAAGGCAGCAATTAAGCTGAGAGCATCGCGGACAAGGAACGCTGATGTAGAGGACCTATTCTTGCGCAAGATGCACTGTCATATAAAGTGAGTCAACGAGAGATATCAAAAACGGGTATATATATATATGCTAGTCTTTATGTTCATGCCAACTCTGGTCCAAGTTCATTTCCTTTCTTATCTACTTTAAATATTACATGTAGCTACGTCAAAAAACTGATGTTTTTTTTCCCACTTAGTATCTATGTAACTCTTTTAATGACAATGAAGTATACACTTTAACGTTCAAACAAAAAGTACCTAACACTTTATAGCCTAATCCAAATATACAAAAAAATGTCTTTATTTCAATTTTCAAATAACCCAAAACTTTTTTACTCCCTAAAAAAGAACCTTCATCTGCACTAAAGATTTTTTTTTATTTGGCCCTACGTATATGAACCACACCCTTCCTTCACAAAAAATAGAGTCCCAGCCCTTTGCTCAGTGATGCCTCAAACTAAATCTGACCTTAGACATTTTTTTAAACCCCTATTCCATATCTAAATATCTAAATGTTACAGTGCATCACTGTGTCCAATTTCTAAAAGATACATCTTTTGGAGTTTGGATTACAAGATAAGAACATGTACACCATGCTTTATTTTATTAGCATTGACCTTGACCTTAACCTGATCAGAAACTATTTAATTGCGGGGGGGGGGGGGTTGAACTTGTCTGCTGGATAATTTAACTACCCGGTAGTAAATCAAAACCAATCAAACAAACAAAGGAAGACAGACAGACAGACAGATTACTACATGGCACCTGCATCTCTGACATATTCTTCAGGTGACACCCAATTTCATGATATATGGGGAATTAGGAAGATTTCCTCTGAGTATAAATATCAAAGTTAGAATGATTGGATTTTGGGCCAAATTGTTAGAACCAATACCTAATAAGTTAAGTAATAAAATGTATAAAATTATTATAAACTATAATACTCAATGGTTGAATTGTATTAAAAATATCCTTGATGAATGTAATTTAATAAATATATTTGAAAGTCAAGAATTCCAAAGTACCCAATGGTTGAATAATACAGTTTTCCATATACTAAAAGATAAATTCATTAATAATTGGAGAAGCGATGTTTTCAATTCATCTAAAGGGACCAATTACAGAATTTTTTTAAATGACTTAGTATTAGAAAAATACCTGCTAGATCTCCCTCCAAGACTAGCAAATGTTTATTGTAAATTTAGAATTTGTAATGTAAAATTTCCTATTGAATGTGGTAGATGGAATAACATTCCAAGAGAAGATAGAAAATGTATGTTTTGTGACCTAAATGAAATTGGAGACGAATATCATTATTTATTTAACTGTAATGACCACCAGATAGTGCAAAACAGAAGAAAATTTATGTCGAGATACTATTTTGAAAGTCCTAGTACTTTAAAGTTTAATACATTATTTAATTATGTCAATAATGAAGAACTAATTTCACTTATAAAATTCCTTAAGCACATAATTGAGCGAATTAACACTGGCCATTAACACCATGATTTATATGTAAACTGTACTAGATATATATGTATATAATTCTCTACACTGTAACCAGTTTGCGAGAATAAAAAACTTGTCATTGTCATTGTCACTGATGTTGGACACTAATGTACCGTAATTTTGACCCTAATGGGCCTTGCGCCTTCTGTACCTGAGGGAACATACCATTTACTATAACAACAGAGGATCCCATTTGCCCATTGATGCATAAAATTCAAACTAACTTTAGCTTAGATTATTTCACCTGTATGGAAGGAGGAGTCTTTTGAAGATATATTTCTTTTACCCATTAGGCTCAAAAGTGAGGAGGGACATATATATACTTATCATCTTGTCACCATCGAGTCTCCTTTGGCTCAAATCTTACATTGATACTGTAGGAGTATTGTAGTCTGTTTAAGATTTTCTTTTATTTGCCTTATTAGGCCCTGCCCTTCTATCCGTGGGGACTATGCAGATCAATCCTTCTTTTATACAAGCCCTTGGCCCATAGATGCTTCATAAAAAAGATGACTAAAATCTTATCAGCAATTCAGAAAAGCCTACTGAAGTAAACGTTAATGGATGATTTATGCCTTTTGAGGTCATTTCAGGGTTTTGATAATAAATAATAAATAAATAATAAAAACTGATTTAAAGCGAAATGCACTGCAGCAGTAAACTTAATATTCATAGCTCGTCCAATATATTTATTCTGGTTCCATAATATATGTAGACTCATACTTAAGGCTTATTCTTGAGTATAACACAACCTGTGTCTCGGTATGTATAGCCCTGATTGTTGATTATATATTAAAATGACTGTACATGTGCAATCAAGTTCGAGTTTCAGATGCTTCATAAAAAAGATGACTAAAATCTTATCAGCAATTCAGAAAAGCCTACTGAAGTAAACGTTAATGGATGATTTATGCCTTTTGAGGTCATTTCAGGGTTTTGATAATAAATAATAAATAAATAATAAAAACTGATTTAAAGCGAAATGCACTGCAGCAGTAAACTTAATATTCATAGCTCCTCCAATATATTTATTCTGGTTCCATAATATATGTAGACTCATACTTAAGGCTTATTCTTGAGTATAACACAACCTGTGTCTCGGTATGTATAGCCCTGATTGTTGATTATGTATTAAAATGACTGTACATGTGCAATCAAGTTCGAGTTTCAGACTACTCCACTCATTCTTCCAAGAATTTCGATTTGATCGGATCAAATCCATTCCAGGAGGTGGCAGAAAAAAAAAAGTGATATCTGACCGGTGAGTTGTAAACTCTCTGATTCCCTTAATTGTTGCCATTCCTTCAAGAAGAAAACTACACTTTGAATTATTCCCTTCAGCCCCCTTGGCGGTATAAAAATAGCTCATCTAAAGCTTATGCTTAAATTGGTCACATTATAAACGATGCTTACTGAGGTTTATTATCATTAGTTCTTTCGGCACTCTATACTATAGTTATCTATGGGAACCTAAATACATGTAGCCCTAATACAGTAATAAGCTGATCAGTTTGAGTTTGCTTATGACAGAATACCTTTTTGACATCCTTTATCGGAACTTTGATGACGATGTGACCTCTTGCGGCTTTCGCTTCAGTCTTAAATACATCAAGAGCTTCAAGCTTCGCTGTAACCTCAAATCCAGTTGGTACAGTTGCTTCAATTTGACAATATACTTCTTTTTCGTCTGCTGACATTTTAGCGTCCACGTTTTCCTTGGGTGCCGCCATTTTGAATCTCGTTTCGGGTCACATGACTCTCTCTAGAAATATATACACACGAGTTTATTTCCGGGGGGAAATCCCACCTTTCAGTCGCTCAGTGCACATACGGAAACCAACGTGCTGAAAGCTGTGAGGCGGCCACTTCTCCACTGATCGATACTTTCAGCAGGTGTTGTTAAACCACAGTGACTGTTCATAAATCGGTCAACTTACGACAATAACAGCAGTATAAGGATACAAGCGACGAGTGTATAACAGGATTTATTTAAGACGCGTGTGTATTTGATTTCATGACAAGAAATTGGAGGTGACAGTTCGTGACCCATGGAGGTACAGACATGAGGCTTTATTTCCGAAACTGGCGAAAGATCGCTTTCGGAATTTTAGGGATTTATTTTCTTGTGTCGTGCTACACCGGTTACCTGTTGATAAGAAGAAGGCTTTTGAGTAAATCTCGATATGACCTACAACGTATCCGAGAACTTACTGGTAAGTTAGACAACATTACAAGCACATGACATGTTGATGTATGTTTACACGATTACATGTCAAGAAAATGTTGGCATTGTTCTATTTAAATAAGCTGTCAACAATGCAACCATGTAGTTTTCATTTGGCATTAACGTTGTTTAGTTGTTCCCTTTTTTAGATGTGTTATCTTGAATAAACGCCCTGTGGATTAGACGGTGACTCGTGTCAGAACTATTTGACCTCTTATGTTGTGTAAACAATGCTATCACACGTGGTGATCGGGGTTCATCTGTGTCTACACAAGTGTCGATCCTGGTGTCTATAGCAGCGGAACAGACCACCTGTGGTGTTATGTAACTCATACACGGGTACAAAGCATTGTCATCTTAACTTTAAGTTTGTACCTAATTTTACACACACAGCCACTGTGGTCAAAGAAGTTCTGGATGTTTCTGAAATCCATACTTTTTGTACCTTAAAATAGGATGTTTCTGTACATTTTGTTATGAGGAGAAAAGCTGAAGATCATTTGAAGTATAAAATCAGCTACACACAGAACTCTAAAATCAAACTAAGTGCCATTTAACAAAAATCTTAAGTATTCTATTGTATCATATATACAAGTATCAAAACATCTCGATAGTTATCTTAACCACTGAGTAACAAAATGTTAGTAGCCCGATAAATGGACATTGTTCCGACAATTCGTATAAAAGTCACAATGTAGAAAAGTGACAGTACGATTACTTGTTAAATCTAAATTATAAATTAAGATTTAAATTGACTGCAGATATCCAGCAATTAAAATGACTTGCTTAAATACGAAGGATGCCTAAGTATAGATTAGTTTAGAATATCATGTTTAAATTTTAATACAGTGACATTTTCAAATGCTGATCGACAGGTGTCAAACTTTGTTCCGATCTGACCATGTCATGAAGCTTGTACAACCAGGCTTTTTATATACAGGAGATTGGTCTAGACAGTCCGTAATTTGACCCAACGTTGGGCATTAAATGGTCAGAAATTCTATCTGACGAGACCACCTGGCTTCATTTGATTGGTTAAATTGATGTCCATAATGCATTGAAGCCCTTTGGATCAATTTACATTAATTACTTTCCATTCTCTCAAAGTGTTTATTCATCAAAATTTGGAAATTGATTAGAATAGCAATTTAATTCCAGCAATAATAAAGTTGGCTATCAGATTCATACAGCAGGATGGTTAAGTTTTTAGTTGCTGATTTTAATCAGAGAGATCTAGATCTATAATCTATATATATATACATGTACAATTGTATGCAAGTGTCTGCATGTTTTGATTGATAACATTTTCTTTCTTTCTTCAAATCTGCAAGTGTTAGCTTCTTGTGACTGAATTGAATATTCAGTCGTGCCAAAATAACCAGGTTGTGTTAAAAATAATAAGTTGTAAATCTAAACTTAGAAAGATATTTATTCTTATTGTTCCCATACTTAAATTTAAAAAAAAGGTATAATGTGCTGACAAATTTCCTAAAACGCTTTTAACACATTTTATCTTGAATATGAGGGTTTATCTTTAATCTTTATTTCCATCACATAAAAGTTACATACATGTATGTTTAATTGATTTTGAAAGTTTCATATTCACAAATAATTTGACATTTCCAATCATCACGAATAGTTTATTTAGTCATTGTTTAACATGTGCACAGACAATATGAATTGAAAAACCATGGAGTTGTTTATGAAATGACAGTTTTGTTTTTGTTTTTTTTATATACTTATTTGAACTGAGCAGATTTCCTCTGATAAAATAGAGCTTCTAAGAATCTTTAACAAATCTTTTACCATGACCTAAAACTTTCAAAATATTTATTAACTCTTTTTATAATTTTTGGATATTACCACTATTCAATATTTCAATATCTAATTTCATTTAAATTTTGAGAAACTTTCCAATTGATGATGAAATCCTTCCTTTGATTCTCCCTTTCCTTAATGATCATGCTTCAATATAAGTTTGGTAATATTTCAATGGTAAGACCTTGAAAAGTTCAAAACCACCATTTTATATCTCAACATTTGACAAATACAGCATGATCTAAAATATAACTCTGTGACTGACCCGCAATATATGTGTATGCCAGTTATTGAATTTGTTACATGTTGTGTTTAAGTTAATGTTGTGCTAGATATAAATACACATCAACATATCATAACACACAAGTAAATTTTCATTTAATTATATATAGGTACAATGATAATTGATTTAAGTTATAATTAGATTACTATAGTCGGAAAACAGCATGATCAGTTATATAATTATAATAAAATGATCAACAGGAAATATCATGATTCATAACATTTAATAACTTATAAGTTAATAGACATTTGAAGATTACCTTTCAAATATTATCATATTAAATTCATTTTTTAATTTTCTGTTTTCTAATCAACATTTTAATCTTATTGATGACACAGTTGAGAAAATACAGCTGATTATTGATTGTTATCTCATTAAATTCATTTTTTAATTTTCTGTTTTCTTTTATCACCAATAATCTTATTGATGATATAGTTAACCAAAATATGGCTGGTATTAATAAATTAATTACAAACATAAAGAAAATGTACATTTATTTAATAAAACAGTGATAACGTCACAGACAGTTGATCGACTGGGCTGCTGCTTGCTGATCATAGATCTAAACCTGCTGATGTACTGGTGTTGGTACGTTCGAGGCAACCTCACAATGTCGTTTGAAGGTGTATGTGTTATAGAAATCCTGTAGTCTAGCTTTGACACTGACAGACTTTGTTTCTTTGATTATCGTTCTTTAACTTCATCGTATCCACCCTGAGATAGCCCTTAATGGAGGGGTGATATCTTCTATAAATTAAAACCATAAATGTTTATAATTATATTGAAGAAATATGCTGCCTTTGTAGTTGTATTTGTGAATATCATCTTTCATGCATACGCAAATCATTATATAAATATATACAATATGTAACCTTTTAATCAAAAGTTATTTGCAAGCATAAATACCTTGACTTATTTAACATCTTAAGTCAAGTCTATAGCTACATATTGAAGTGAATTTAAGAAAACGGTAATTTTTAAAACGATGTATTTTTAACAGTTGAATAAGGATGTAAGTTGTTGTAACGAGTGTTTGAAGAAATTAAGGATTGAATAAAAATATCTATAGAGACAGTCACTTTAACTGTATACTATAGGAAAGGTTACAGCGTACAACAACTGTTCAACATAACAAATGTATAAAATTGATATCAAAATATATACCACAACTGTACAGGGAATGTTAGCACACTGCACAACTGTACAGGGAATGTTAGCATGTTTGTACTTCAACTGTACAGGGAATGTTAGCACACTACACAACTGTACAGGAAATGTAATTAGCACACTACACAACTGTACAGGGAATGTTAGCACACTACACAACTGTACAGGGAATGTTAGCACATTACACAACTGTACAGGGAATGTTAGCACACTTCACAACTGTATAGGAAAGGTTATAGCGTACAACAACTGTACAACATAACAACAAATGTACACACTATAATGGTACATGGTGTGTTAACATCCTATAACTGTATAGGAAAGGTTACAGCGTACAACAACTGTACAACATAACAACAAATGTACACACTATAACAGTACATGGTGTGTTAACATCCTATAACTGTATCGGAAAGGTTATAGTGTACAACAACTGTATAACATAACAACAAATGTACACACTATAACAGTACATGGTGTGTTAACATCCTATAACTGTATAGGAAAGGTTATAGTGAACAACAACTGTATAACATAACAACAAATGTACACACTATAACAGGACATGGAGTGTTAACATCCTATAACGGTATCGGAAAGGTTATAGTGTACAACAACTGCATAACATAACAACAACTGTACACACTATAACAGTGCATGGTGTGTTAACACATAATATAGCAGTTCTTTGATAGCTGCCTGTTTACAAGTGTAGGAATCTCTGTACAGACAGTATATACTGAAAGTATAATCCGGTACAAACAGTTAGCTATGTCATGCTTCTTGTTTGCTAATACAGCAGTACTGTGATAGCTGCTTGTTTACCAGTGTAGGGATCTCTGTAGAGACACTATATACTGAAAGTGTACTCAGGTACAAACAGTTAGCGGATCTCTGTACAGACACTATAAACTGAAAGTGTAATCCGGAACAAACAGTTAGCTACGTCATGCTTCTTGTTTTATAATACAGCAGTACTTTGAAAGCTGCTTGTTTACAATTGTAGGGATCTCTGTACAGACCCTATATATACTGTAAGTGTAATCAGGGACAAACAGTTAGCTATGTCATGCTTCTTGTTGTATAATACAGCAGGACTTTGATAACTGCTTGTTTACAAGTGTAGGAATCTCTGTACAGACACTACATATACTGTAAGTGTAATCAGGGACAAACAGTTAGCTATGTCATGCTTCTTGTTTGCTAATACAGCAGTACTTTGATAACTGCTTGTTTACAAGGGTAGGCATCTCTGTACTGTACAGACACTATATACAACTGTATAACATAACAACAAATGTACAGACTATAACAGTACATTGTGTGTTAACACATAATATAGCAGTTCTTTGATAGCTGCCTGTTTACAAGTGTAGGGTAGCACACTACACAACTGTGCAGGGAATGTTAGCACACTTCACAACTGTATAGGAAACGTTATAGCGTACAACAACGGTACAACATAACAACAAATGTAGACACTATAACAGTACGTGGTGTGTTAACATCATATAACTGTATCGGAAAGGTTACAGTGTACAACAACTGCATAACATAACAACAAATGTACACACTATAATGGTACATGGTGTGTTATCATCCTATAACTGTATAGGAAAGGTTACAGCGGACAACAACTGTACAACACAACAACAAATGCACACACTATAACAGTGCATGGTGTGTTAACACATAATATAGCAGTTCTTTGATAGCTGCCT